TGAGAGGGGAGAGGGTCAGAGGGAGAAGCAGACTCCCCGCTGAGCAGGGAGCCCGATGCGGGACTCGACCCCAGGACTCCAGGATCATAACCTGAGCCGAAGGCAGTCGCTTAACCAACTGAGCCACCCAGGCGCCCAACACAGCTATATTTTTTTAAAGGAGACCAGCAATATGGAAATTTTGGCTTCTAGAGTCAAAATTTTCATTGCTGGAGACCAGCAGGACACTGTGACCATGTGCACCCTTATAGGCTTATCAGGATACATTTTCATACTTTGATTTTAAGCTGCCTCCTTTCCCACCAGTGCCAATCCAGGGCTGGGTGCAGAAGGTACCTACCCCCAACTTCCCCACAGGTACCCCATGGAGGACTGTGCCACTCTGTGAGTAGAGTGACATGCCCACCTATGTCCTACTCTCCACTTGCTACCCATAGCCTGGGAGGAAGGAGGGTTGGAGGTGAATACAGGCCTCTGGGCAACCAGTAGGATTTTATGCCCACTCTTGTGATGTGTGCATTTGGAACCATACCTTCATTCTCTGGATCTCTCATCAGCAGCACCAGCATAAAACACTGGTGCACTGAGTAACATGGGACCCATAGTATTCCATGGCGTTTTCTTAGGACCATTCTGAAAGCTGCCTTGACCCTAAATATCTCCTTCAGCCTCTTTGACAAAACAGTTAAACTATGCCCTACATGTACATGGTACTCCACAGTTGACAGAGCCCTATCACTAGCATCATATCGTCTAATCCTTATGAAGCTGTATTGGCCTGGTAATTTTTTTTAAAGATTTATTGGTCCATTACTTTAAGTTAATTGAGGTAAAGAAACCTCTTAAAATTTATAATAGTTTATCAAGTAATATAAATTATTTTGTTTACGGCAAAACGTTAACACTAGTCTCATAGTAAACAATGGACAGAATTTTTTTATACACAGATATATGAAAAAAAGTGGACAAAAAACCCTCATGCCAGCATCAAAAATACAACAAAACCTTTATTTTTATTTTTACAATCCCTGAATTCCATAACAAAGAGAAAAAGGGTGACTTTTTTTTTCCAAGTTTTAATTTAAATTTTAGTTAATTAACATACAGTGTAATATAAGTTCCAGGTATAGAATGAAAAGGTTTGGTAGCTGCATGAAGCAAAGACTTTGATCTGTAAGTAAATCACTTTCTCATCTACACACATTATTAAGCACTTTTTTTTTTTATGGCTTTTGATTTGGCTTACTGGCAGCATGGAGAGAAGAGAACACATTTACATGGGGACTTAACCAGTACCTCAGGTTTTTTCTTTGAAAATTTTAAAGCTAAGGAGTGATTTCTAAAAATAAGAAGCACAGTCCATAATTTGTGCATGACTTAAAAGTTTTTAATCTCTTTTTCAATAGTTAAAAAGCTAGAAAGTTTGCTGGCAGTTTATTTCATGGGAATATATCGGATATACATCATCTTCCAATGCATTGCCAATGCACAGACATTAGGGGACAGTCAGAAAGAAGTACAATGGTCAGGCTGTCTGCTGGACGGGACCGGAACATCAGGGCTGTCCAGGTGAACGGTGCTGATTGTTAAGAGCTGCTGGTTTGTTGTTCACTGAAAGCCCAGCTGACCCCGGCATCATTTTATCACACTGATTCACATTTTGTTTGCAAGCTACTTTCCCCTCCCCATTTCTACACTGGTGAAAAAGTGATCCCCCTTTTCTCCTTCCACTATCACTGTGACTGAAGGGTTGGTCTGAGACTGTGAACCATCTGTCAGAGAGGGGTGTCGACAGGTGTTATCTGCTCTGCCCTGGCCTACAGGCAGCCCAGAATCATCTGGTGAGTGTGGCGCTGCCGGGCGAGGTGCATGTGCAATACTCCATCATTGGTTTTAATAGGAAATGCTCTGTGACAATGGACTAAAGTATGTGAGTCAATACAGAGGTGTTAGGTTTTTGGCATTTCAATGTCTGGAGAATCTCTATCTGAAGCATGCTGCTCTAAGGCCCCCATGGTATGTTTTAAAATGCTGTTCCGCAGAATTGGGATAAACCTTTAATATTGTCATAAGCTAGAGTTCTTTGTATCTGTGTGATCTGTCAGTGCTGATACCATACATCCTCTACAATCAAAAGTCTGTCAAAAGCACTAAATTAATCTTTTATACTTTAAAACAACAGCCAAAAAAAAAAAAAAAGGCTTTGTGGGCCTTGTGTTTAGAGTAATTCTTTAAAACAAAGAATGAAACGGGTTCAGAGAGGTTGAGTAACTTACTGAAGGTCACCATTAAGTAGGTGATAGATCACTTGCTCTCAATCCAAAGTCCTTTCCACAATATCAAACAAATTGTAGACACAGAAACAAATAACCCTTTTGGAGAGAGACAAAACCCCTTAAAAGAATAAGCTTTTTATGTACATTTGGAGATAAAGCTTAAAATGCAAATCTTCCCTTGAGAGTGGGAAAGTATGAACAAATGAGTACACAGGCTCTTGCATATTCAAAAAATTACATTATTTCCAGGATTATAGATTTAAGACATGGTAGTTAATAGAAAAGTTCTAGATTGAAAATGCACATCTGTATATGCATATATGTTTAGTTAGAAAATATATCGCATTGGATGTTTGTGCATTTCTTGGTTACCCATTTTACATGTTGTGTCCACAGCTGCTTCATTCCAATCCCTACACTTCAAGCCACCATATTACTTTTTAATTACCTTATGAGTAATTTTCAGTTAATTATAATAATTAACTAAGTGTTTAGCCAATAAAGCACCAAAAAACTACAGATTTTTCAATATGGTTCCAGGAATAGTTCAGTTTTCACATTTAATATCTGAACCTCATATTTATCACATGTAGCATGAAACTGCTTCTGTTTTAAAGAATAATTGTATATTCACTGTGAACAGTATAAAAAGCAATAAGCATACTTCCCTCTGTCATATAAAAATATGTGACATTTCCCTAGAAAATTCCTTTATTTAGAATATAGTTAATAATATGGTAACAACTGTGTATGGTGCCAGATGGTGGCTAGATTTATCGTGGTGATTACTTCATAATGTACATAAATGTTGAATCACTGTGTCGTACATCTGAAACTAATATAAGATTGTATGTCAGCTACACTTCAATTAAAAAAAAAAAGAAATTCCCTGCATATAGAAGTTCTAGACCTTCTCTACTTGTAAATCTAAGTGTATCCTTTCCCAGACGATAGTGTTTCCCTTAGGGCTTTGGTACATTTCATCAAAAGGAAAATATAGACAGTGGAAATAGAAATAGGAAGAGTTCAAGTACAGTAGCTCATCATGTGTATGTTGGGAGGAATAATATAAAGTATAATGAAGACCTCCTCCCCGAGGTTTCAGTGACTAAGGGTGGCGCAGGTACAAGAAATTCAAGAAGTCAAAGAAATACCTACCTTTCCTCAGTGGGAAAGATGCCATAATTCAACATGAGTAGAATGATTAAGAAGGAAAGTTTATTGGACTCAACTATGCAGCTAATGATTCACCTAGCTCTCACTTGTATTTTAAACATTGGCTTGAAAAAGGATTTCATATAAATTTTTGTTTCTTTTGGATAGCTCTCATGCATGATTTATTGATTGCATCTCTGAAGAACAGAATGAGTGATGTTGTTTGGTTGCTCGTTCCAGAAGGTGCAGGAACCAAAAGACTGCTGCAAGTGAAGGCATTTGTATGGTCTCAGAATGTTAGGATGGTGCGGATGCTACAACAGGAAATAAAAGATATATTAATTGTTTTAATGTTCAGATAACCCACACTCTTCCACGTGAGAGTCCAAGGAACATTCACTGCTGTCTCAGTGAAAAGCTATCTGTGGTTCCACTACTTCATTTGCATCCCTGTACATTCATGTCAAGTAAAGTAGTACAGTGGGTCCCCTTTTGCTGGTTCTTTCTTGTGTGTTCTACTGCCTTGAGCTCAGTCATAACATCCTGAATATGACTGCCATTTAGGCTTCATTATATATGAACATCCTCAAAAAATCACTTTTGAGAGCATGCATATCTGGCATAATAATATAAAACAACAATGGGTAATGACATGTAATAAGTGCTTGCTATTTGTGACATAATCTGTAGATGCTTTTTGTGCATTTTATCATTGAAACCTCAACTGAAACAACCATGCTATCAGGCAGGTCCTAATGTTTCCATTTTAGAGATTAAAAATACTGAGAGAGGGGGTTATAACTTGTTCTAGGTCACATATCTAGTGTGGGGTGTGGGAATTTAAACCTCAGTATAAAGTTGCACAAATTACAAGATGATAGATAACTTGCTGGAAGGAACCGTAATGTAATAAAGACCATCTTGAAGGCTTCATAGAGCTTTGATAAAGAAATGTTGAAGGATTCTTAGAAATATATAATAAAGTTGATTTGTATTCAGAAACTTCATTCTTATGGAGATCAGAAATTTAGCATTTACACTGGAACCAATGGCCTTCCTAAAAACTATCTTCT